ATGGTAGGCAAATCATGAGCAACCGCAGGTCAATAAAGCGAAGGATGCAAGGAATACACACACCCGCTGCACTCGCGCCCACGGTCCATCGTCCTGCTTGGTGAACAGCAAATTGCGCAAGGCTGCAATCTGCGTGCTCACGCTAGCCACCATCTCAGAATTGACTGCGACGTGCAGCGCCGTCTCCGCCTGCACAACCGCACCTTCCTCCAGCGCATTTCGGGCGCCAGTGGCAAAAGCCGTTGCGAGGCCGCGGAGGAAACCGCGGCCCATCGGTGCAACGACGGCGGTGGTAACGCCTGCGCGGTATGCGTACCTATTTTCATAGACCCGGTTAAATACCGCAACGGTGAAAAAGCCAACGGAGAAGGTACGCACAGTGTATTTCTCCCTCCGAACTGCAGCCCAGCTGCTGCACGCACAACGGTATCCCCTAGAATCCTCGGTACACTGCCTGTAAGGGGATCGAAGACGCGCCCGTCCGTTGTCGAGCTCTCGAGCATAATCTCGCTCAACCCGAGGTCCGACCCGAATGTCGTTAGCCCCGGCGCAAGCTCGCCGCCCTTCAGGTCCACAACCTTCGCGTCCGCAACAGCCGCATCGGACATACACGCGGTGTGCTCAGTTGAATCAACACAGCGCACGGCTCCGCCCTCGACAAGCACGCGCCACGGGCCCTCCTCGTACGTCCCCTTCCCCATCCCTGCGCCGTTTCTCGACCACACCCGCGACACATTAAAAAACAGCACCCGCCCGGACTCGGTCCTCCCCTCAAGCGGCGGCAAGCCCTCGTGCTCGATCGTCCGCGCGATCTCCTTCTCCCAGCGCGGTGTGCGCGGCACCTCCTGGAACGCGTGCGGTTTAGCGAGCAGCGCGGGCGACGCGAGCTGCGGGATGCCGTCGATGTACACCTGCACGGGCGTCGCCCCGAGCGCGAGCGGGTGCGAGTCCCAGATTACGAGGTCTGTGAGGTGTGATCATGAGTATTTGGTACTACTTTGCTAGTGTGCCGACGTATTCACCTGCATCGAATCCTACATATACACATCTCAGTAACAGCAACGCCCAAACGTCTAAATCAGTGCGTACCAGTAGCGAGCATCCCAACCCTCCACCCGACCCCGAGCGCGGTGGCCGGAGTAGAGGTAACGGACGCAAGCGCAAGCGCAGGGTTCAGCCCGTAATAGTGCGCCTGCTGCGCTTCGTACATGAGATGCCGCGAGTTGAGTACGGGATGGTCGGACTGTGGAGAGGGGCAGTTGTGAGTATTTATCATCATTGCAAGTCAACGATCGCGGATGGAGTAAAGAGTGAATGGGAAATCGCAAGCGCAAGAACGGGGAAAACAGTGCACACTGCAGTAATGGAATAACGAAATTACCTTCATGACCACCGACAGCCCATTATCCGCGAGAATCCTCGGCGCGAACTCGGAACCGCGGTACGCCTCGCGCTTTTTCCTGTCAAGCACAACTCTCAGTACTCACTTCAAAAACGGCGGTCGGGAATTAAGAGTGAGACACACCGGAAGTTGGAAGCAAAGAGGGCGATCGCGGGGATGCCGCCCTATGAACGTCCGACGTCAGACGTGGTCGCAAACGCAAGGAAGGCGGTAGCGTACCCAAGCCTTTTTCAGTAGATTGGGTACGAGATAAGTCTCCCCCGCGTGGTGGATGGACGCAATGGGGAATTTGAATTCGTTGGACAGCTGCGAGCCATTTAGGATCGGAACAATAAGGAACGAAAGAGAGTACGCACCCGAATCAGTTGGTCCAGATCCACCGCCTAAAAAAACGCGTCTCAATAATCCATTAGATATCAAGACCATGGACACATACCTCGTAGCAATGCACCGACAGCTAACCTAATCAGCACCTGCAGAATAAACAAAACAACAAGACACACCTTGACTCGCCCTCTCAACACATCCACCAGCGCCTCCCACCGCAGGCTCTCCGGGAACGCAGCCGTGCCGTCCCAAAGCCCCGCCTCGGCGCGCGCGCAGAAGGCATCTTGCGCGTCGCGTATCTTGCGCGCGGCGTCGTACGCGGCGCGGAATTCCCAGGCGCTGTCCATGCGGGTCTGTGAGTACACGCGGGAGGGGTTCTCGCCGCATGCGTGTCTGTCAAAATTAATCAGCCTTTATCCAAGTCTCAAGGAGAATAAACCGGCGGACTTCATGTGTCTCCATTTCGAGCGCGTGTCGGACGCGTTGAGGCCGAGCGTAAGCGGTGGCTCGAGGAGCATCGCAGATGCAGAGCGCTCTGCAGTGGGCCGAAGTTTTATCAGGAATGCTTGTCCGCCTGGATACAATTGTCAGCCAGTTTTTTTGCGGTAATTTTCTGGGAAGCATACCGATATTATTCGCGCTGCCTGGCAAAACCTGCGCCGTCGTCACTCCTCCTGCAATAGCCAGCCTGTATGCATCGTCGTGGGTGTTCAACCCATCAAGACTTCGCAGCCATGGTAAAATCGGGGCCTTGACCGAGTTGCCATCCGACGCGCCTACGTACCGGATAAGCTAACCCAAATCGCAGAACACCAGCTCTGGCACTCACCCTCCAGCGCCGGGGCAGAATACACCCCCAGATGCGAATGCGCGTCCACTATACCCGGCGACACCCACTTCCCGTCCGCATCAATAATCTGAAGGTTCGTGCGCTGGCGCAGCGCACTCGGAATGTACCCCACGCCGAGGACGACGCCGTTGTCGAGCAGGATGTCGCCATAGACGACCTCGGTGCCGTTGCGCGCGCCAGTGAGGATCTTCGCGTTGCGGATAAGCACGGGTGGCGTGCCCTCGACGAAACGATCTGAGCCCTGCGCAACGCGCGACGCGATAAAGTCGGGTGTGGGTCCCAGTGGGGCCCGGAGAGCGAGACATTGGGGCGGGAGGGAGCTGGCTGGTGAGTGACGGTCTTGCGGCCAGTAGACGGTGAGAAGGAAGGCCGCTATTATCGCTGCGAGGAGGACGTGCTTGCGCTTGCCTTCGGACAGGGACATGGCGATTAAGAGCCAAGAGACATCGCGACAACGTGACATAAGCATCAGCAGATAACAACGCGGGCACGTGAACCCGTTTCCTCGAAAATCGGACGCGTAATGCCGGTGACGAATAGATACATGCCACCGGCAGTCCGTATTCATTCTCGTCGCTCGCGATTCCATTCAAAACTGGGATTAGCATATGCCGCAGACTCTACGTAGCCGTTTTCGAACGTTTTAGTACGAACAGTAACAAATCGGCAGTATTTGGATTCCCGTTGACAAAATTTCCATGGATCCCGGGCAGTCTAAGCATCTCAAATATCTCGGATGGTCGTCCCGAAACTCGGGGTGGGAGAGGTAGGGCAGGAGAACGGGAGAGCAACGCAGTAAAGAAAGTAAGCGAAACGGAACAGGAAAAGAAGCGAAGGCCCAATGCGCGGAAATGAACGCAACACGTGTTTTAGCGTTCTAAGTCCAGCTAATTTTTATTCATCCCTTGCACTACTCAACGCAGCCGGACTCCGTTAAGGAATCGCTTACAGCTGTATAAGAATCGGACGTGGTGTAGGGTTACACGACCTCGTCAAGTGTATACACAGTCTCCTGGCGATTTTCGATGGCGTCCGAGTACTACAAGTCGTCGACGGCAATTCTTTGTTGGAATAACGAGTGGGACACGGGCTTCGTGGAAGAATTGTTCAGAGCGATGTGCGTAGGTGAGTGGATAGAGAAGGAAACGGACGTCGTCTCTAAGACGCGGGCCTTGCGTTTAACTCCCTGAATTCAACTTGAAGTGTTCTGCGTCCAGCCAATTATTTATCCCTTGCTGGACTTCGTTGGGGAATTGCTTACAGCTGTATAAGAATCGGACGTAGTGTATGGTTACACGACCTCGTCAAGTGTATACACGGTCTCCTGGCGATTTTGGATGTAGTCCTGGGTCCGACTCCTGGCGTCCGAGCTGTGCACCCATCGAGAAAGAGTAAATTTCCCCCTTCTCTTGGAATAACGGGGCTTCGTGGAAGAATTGTTCAGAGCGACGAATCCGTTACTGGATGGGCCTTCTGAAACGCTCAACATTCCAGTGTTCTGAGTCCAGGCAACTTTTATTTAACCCTTGCACCACTCACCACAGCTGCGCTTCGTTAAGGTATCACTTACAGCTGTATGAGAATCGGACGTGGTGTAGCGTTACACGGCCTCCCTGAATTCAACTTGAAGTGTTCTGCGTCCAGCCAGTTTTTATTAATCCCTTGCTGGACTTCGTCAAGGATTCACTTGCAGCTGTATGATAATCGGACGTGGTGTAGGAGGAGGAGGAGGAGGACAAGCCGGTCTCCTGGCGATCTTCGAGGTAGTCCCGGGTTCGACTCCTGGCTTCCGAGCTTTTGCACTGATCGATGGCCATTTTTAACCATTTGTTGGAATAACGAATGGGACTCGGCTTTGTGGAAGAATTGTCGAGGGCGATGTAAGCAGATGAGTCGATGGAGAAGGAAACGGACGTCGCGGCAGCCCGAGCCTTGGGTTCGACTCCCAGAATTCAACTTGAAGTGGTCTGAGTCCAGCCAATTTTTGTCCATCCGTTGTACCACTCTCAGCGCTGGACGCCGTTCAGGAATCACTTAGAGCTGTATACGAACCGGACGTGGTGTAGGGTTACACGGCCTCTTCAGTTAGGTGGATCGCGCGTTCTCTTAAGAGGCAGTCCCGGGTTCGACTCCTGGCGTCCGAGTACGCTGGAGGAGCCCATTTTTTTTCTCCTTGTGTTGGTCTGACGAAGGGGCCTGGCTTTGTGGAAGAATTTTTCAGAGCGACGTACATAGGTGATTCGATGGAGAAAGAATCGGACGTCGCCTCTAAGATGCGGTGGCAAGCCCGAGCTTTGGGCTCGACTCCGTGAGTTCAACTTGAAGTGTTCCAAGTCCAGCCACTTATTCATCCCTTGCACTACTCAGCGCAGCTGGACTCAGGCGGCCTTCGTCAAGGAATCAGTTACAGCTGTATAAGAATCGGACGTAGTGTATGGTTACACAGCCTCTTCAGTTAAAGTAGGAGTGGGGTCCTTTGGTTTGGGAGGCAGTCCCGGGTTCGATTCCTGGCGTCCGAGTACTATGACCGAGGCCATTTTTTTTCTCCTTTTGTTGGACTAACCAGTGGAAGAATAACAAAAGAGAAAACGGACGTCGTCTCCAAGACGTTCGACGATTGGTATTCAACTTGAGGTGTTCCGAGTTCAGGCAACCTAGATTTTGATTCATGCCTTGTACTACAGCACAGCTAAACGCCAGCTAAACGCGAGTCTTCTTCCAAGCAAATATGCTAGGGCTGAGCCCGTGCAAAGATCGACCTCTGCCATGAGATTAAGCCGGGGGCGTGGCATGACATACTTTATTTCGTGGCCCTGGAAAAGTCGTATCGCTGCTGACGCTCCGCAGGTCCCGCACGATGGTAGGTATCGGATTCTGCAAGTGAAAAAAATTATATCGCCTGGAAACGGGCCCTCGTGGTCCCCTGATTCGGCGCGACTGGATTCGCCTTGCTCGTGCGGGAGTAAGAGCGTGCGCACATCCAGAAGAAGAAAAAACAGTCAAAGTACTCTGCAATGAGCCGGTCTGGGTTCGAACCATGGGCGGGCACCGCGTCTTATTCATCCCCTGTTGAATATCGTGTTGTGTTAGCAAGCGCTTTCGACCATAATTTTGAACGAATTGGAACCCACCAACGCGCGCCCACCGCGATCTGGCCGAATCGCGAGCAGCAGCGGGAATAGACAGAAAAGTCGGACAGGGCTGGATGCGGGTCACGTTCAACGTCTTGGGCTTGCGTCCGTCAGAGTAGAATGAGAGAGTGAGGGTGCGGAGAGAACTACGCCAGCGCGAATCACTCAAACCGCAACGCCCATGCGCTCGTCTGCCGTTCCTCGAGCGCCCAGATGCGTGGATGCGCGCCTTGGTCGCTTTAAGGTCGATGTTTTCGGGTTGCGCTGCGAAGAGCGTCATGATCAGCGAGCCACCAGACACAAATGGTGATGGGGAGAGATGAAGAAAGACAAAAACTCACTGTCCCAGCCTTCTCCAAAACGTCCTGCGCCGCCCGTAGCTCCGCCTGTCTTGCCGCCGGGGACGAGTTTGCCCCTGGTTCCGCTCTCCGGCGCGAGGGGGCTGCGGTGGGAGATGGGCGCCAGGCGCCTAGCTCGACTGCGTCGCGTTCATTTCGTATATCCTTGGCGATGGAGGGCCCCGTCGCCGGCAGAGGAGCATCACCGAACGTCTTGCCGGGCCCAGCGAAGGGAGCGCGTTTGCGGACGCGGCGGATGAAGAGGAAGCGGACGAGGAAGAGGGAGGCGATGAAGAGGACTCAGGAGGATGGCGGCGATGTCACTGAAGCCGGCCCGCCGGGCCGGAGCTGGGCCTGCTCCGAACAAGGCGCGCTCCGAACTTACTTTTTGTTCCTGCTTGACGATGTCGATGGCGCGTTCCTCGACAGCGTTAGGGCTTCCCAACGGTGATTCGAGATTTTTTGAGGCGGTAAGATGCGCTGCACCCTGGTCACTGGTGTCGGCTAGTGATGGGCAAGTTCGGTTCGGTTCAGGTTCGGGGTACTTTTTTCCGAACCCCGAACCTGAACTTCGGTTCAGGTTCAGCAATATGCTGAACCCCGAACCTGAACCTACGGTTCAGGTTCAAAGCGGTTCGGTTCAGCGTTCGGGGGCGTTCGAACGCCGAACTGAACCGAAATTTTCCCAATCACTGAATACGGGTAGAAAATCGGTGCTACCCCTCGAAATAAAGCCGTACCTTCAAGACTTGCAGATATTGTAAAGCCAACACGCTCTGGGTAGTACAACAGTCGTTAGTAACTGTGTCACATTCCCGGTATTAGTGGTGTCACTTTCCGTGACATACCTTGCGAGGGTAGAAACGAGGTGCAGGTATAACTGATGAAAAGGGGATTTTTTCTGTAGCGTACCTTGTAGCTCTTGAGGTGGGTCCGATTGTAATAGGTCCCGGAAAAGGATCATTGTTGCCTGAAATTGTTGAGTTCGCAGGGGAGAAAGTGGCTTGAGGTCTACAAAGAACATGTTTTGGGGGACAACAAGAGCTAAGGGGATGTCCTTCAGTAACCAGAGATGTGCGTGACACATTCATGGACCATAATTTGGCTTGAACTCAGTTATATATTGGTCAAATTTGGGCAGTCGGTTCAGCGGTTCGAACGGGTTCGAACGGGTTCAGCGAAAATGGCCCTTGAGTGAACTCCGAACCGAACTTCAGGTTCAGGTTCAGGACTTTGCTGAACTTTGAACCTGAACTTCGGGTTCAGTTCGGTTCAGTTCGAGTTCGAACCGAAAGTCCGAACCGAACTTTCCCAACACTACTGTCGGCCCTCGCCTACTTGTTCGATCAGCGCTCCCAGTCAAAACCCGTCCTGCTGAAATCTGCTATAGTCCAGAATTTCTGCTGAGATCTGACGGAACGTCGGTCCGAAGACAGATTTTAGCATTTATTCTGGACTATAGCAGATCCAGATGCTGGAATCTGCGGTCAAGTCGAAACCAGCATGACCGCTTTTCACTGGGCGATCAGCACTCGGAGTCTCCGAGTCAGGTAGCGCTTTGGCAGCGCCCAGCAAATTACAGTCCTTTCCAATGGCCAATTGTTACAATAAGCAGCCTTGGCATTCTGCGCCGCCTGCGGCCGCTTAAGTATAACGCTGTTCGTCAACTTCTGGCAAAAACGCTGGCGAGGCTATGCGGGCAACTATCCGTACCTACGCTCTTGTGTTCTCGCGCTGGACCCGCCCCGCTCAATCGCAAATCAAAGGATTATTCTCTGGGCCCTGGCAGTACACGTCGATTGATGGATCGACCGTCCTTACTGTGCTCCATACCACCCCAAAGAGACCCGGTAGCGAGCGGTCTCGCACCCACACCGCGTATTTTGGCCGCCGTTTTAAACTGTGGGTCCGATTGATCCTGGTTCGACTCCAGGCCGGGTCGTGTTACGAGCATTTTTTTTTTTTTTGCCAAGCGCTCAAGCACACTAGCTCCCGCCGGTCTGACGGAAGTTGAAAATGCTCTTCAGCAGCTTTGCTGTATCTCTTAAAAAATCATTGTTGAGAGTGTTAGCTAATTCAAGGTTCAACAGAGAATAGATAAGACCCCGCAGCGAGCGGTCTCGAATCCTCTTCATGTGCGCACTCGTCCTCTCATGAGTGAGTGGAAGCCACAAATTCTGGTTCGACTCCAGGGAGGGTCTTTGAAGAAATCTCGAGTTGGTTTTTCCTTTTCCTCTTGCTCTGACTCCTGACCAACGCCAATCGAAAATATTTCCAGCGACTTTCCTATCTATCCACACTGCTGGGGAATATTCTGCCTGATCTGCGCGTGCGTTTGGTGAGTATGTTCATTCAAAAGTTTCTGGTAACTCGACGTTCAGCAGAGAATAGATAAGACCCGGTAGCGAGCGGTTTCGCACCCACACTGTGTGGGCCGGTATTCATGAGTCTGTGGAGCTGCTGGTTCGAGTCCAGGCCGGGTCGTGTGCCAGCGCAAGCAGGTTTTTTGTCAATCGCTCAAGTACTGGGACCTCGTACGGAACCTCGTACGGGACCAACGCGGGCTCGGTGAAAGTGACGCCCGTGACGCCAATTGACGCCCTTTGCCGCCCTGACGCCCTCAACTGGGAACATTGACGCCCTCATGTCACGTCACGCTTCACCTGCCGCCCTCATCACCAAAAGAAAAAAATTGGGATTGTAGATAAGGGCGCTAATGAACGCTCTGGTGCATCTACCATATCCTGCGTTACCTTGCTTGTCAAGGTCTCTCCACCCTCATAATGGCACCACTTTTCGTGTAACCCGATGATCCTAATTGTTCCGAGCCATCACTTCATCAATCACTTCATCAATCAATATACACAATTCTATACTTGGCCGGCAAAGCACTAAACGCTAAGCATACCGCCACCGTCCTTTCGAAATATATATATTTAAGTTCCCTAAGGATCCAAATTTCAACGCAGCGCAAGCAACCAAAGCACTGAGCATCATTCCCAAAGCTTCCTAATGATTCAAATTTCAACGTAGCGCAAGCAGGAGCTAACCAAAGCACTGAGCAGCATTCCTAAAGCTTCCTAATGAATCATTAGGGTTCCATGAATAACTGTGCTGTTATTAACTCAGTTATTTACACCCTGTTATTAACTGTTATTAACCGGTTATTAACTGGCACCCCAAAACGACCTCCAAATCGATGTAAATAACTGTGAAGAACTTCGACTATTGGCAGAGAATCACCCTTCTGAGCTTGGACACTTTGAGCACATGCACAACCATGCTGCAGTTTTTCGATCGATTTGTGTTCAATTCGATAATCACGCGTCACACACCCATTGTAAGGGATTGTATTTCCATTTTTGGTACTCTTTAGCTACAAGTGACATGTATCTCGATCAGATCAATTATCTTATCATCTTACCACAAACCACCATCGTCGACCAGCCTCCAATTCTCGTTGAGTACCTCCGAGTTTCTGATAGAGGCCTGACGATCGGGTTCTACGCCTTGCCTGGCATACGCACTAGGCATTAGGCGACTATATCACTATATTTACGACTTACGCCCACTTCACGCCGGATTACACTAGGATCACGATAAGACGGCCTGCTCAGTGCCCTTGAATATTCGAGGGTTCTAGAGAGTCTACAACTCAGAGAGTACGAATATTCAACTTCTGGTAGTCTTTCGAAGAGCTAGACCGTCTGACGAGGGTCCTTCACACAATATAAGGCTCGATCACCCCGCCAGGGCAAGCGTACGACGGATACCCTTTTGTGAGTGCTCTTGAAGCCTTACACCCATAAGAGTCACACATCACCCAGGCCCTTACCAAAGCCACCCAGTCGGACACGCACCTAAAAGGCGGTCAGGCTGTCCTAGAAGTCCAGGAGAAGCTAATGGATGTAAACTGGGACTTTTAGAAGCTGAAGTGGATTGTTTCTGAATTATTTACAAGGTCAAAGTTATTTACGCAGTTATTTACCGGTTCCTAAGTGTTATTAACTGAATTGTTCCTAACTCTGTTAATAACGGCCTCCGTGTGCC